GCAAGGCAGGTGTTTTAGAAAGCTCTTTCTGGCGGCTGTGTGGTGACTGGTCTAGAAGAGAGGGACTGGATAAAGGGAGATTAGTTAGGATGTAGTTTTATAACCCAGATGGGAGACCACCAAGGTCTGAGGGAAGAAATGCCCATGGGAGAACAGACCAAGGAGCAGGGAATGGACTTCAGAGATGTCAAAGATGTAGAAGCTATAGGGTCCTTCTTAAATCATTGCATTTGCTTAAAAATGCCTTTTGGCATTGCTTAAAACTTGGCCCAATACATTGGGGAATTGATCATTTTGGAGAGCTATATTTTTTATAGAAGTGAGGCTTTACCCATTTTTGTATCCATTAACATGAAAAAAATGTTATGATTGTGACTTTGTGAAATGCTTGGTAATGTGTCATACTTTCCTTGAAGGTGGCACTGCATTGCCATAAACACAGCAGGAGCTTCGGAGTCAAAGGTCTGGGTCAGAACTCTGTTCTGCTCTTTTGTAAGCTGTGGAACTTAGGCCAGTCAGACTTTACCTCTTTGAGCTTGTTTCTTCTTCAAAATAAGGTCAAGATCATCCAGTCGACAGGATTGTTGTGGGGTTACATGAGGTAATGTATGTAATGCTCTGAGCACAGTGTTGGATACATCCTAAGTTCTCAGCAACTTAGTCTCCTCTCCTTCCCACGATGCTCCAGGCTTAGCCTCCGGACATCACTAACACTTTGTGCAGGGCTCTTTACTCTTCCCTATAGGGCCTCAGAGCAGTGCTCTTGGATTCCTGTCTGCTTTTCACGTTTTGTGTGTCCTCCCCCATAAACATCCACTTGTCACTGCTATCATTACCTGTTCTCTTTTCTTTTATAATCCTGTGTGAATTTGTAGACCAGATAATAGCTAACTGCCCTACATGTTAACTACTTACTGTTAGTTCATTTAATCTTCATACTCTTTTCAACCAGGTACTGTTTTTACCTTCATTTTTTAGCTAAAATGTGAAGCACAAGAAGGTGAAGTGACTTCCAAAGGGCACACTACTATTATGTGCCGGTAAGTGCTTCGACCCAGGCAGTAGGGCTCCAGAGGCTATGCTCTTAGCCACACATTATATCACCTCTCACAACTGAGAACAACTAATAATGTGCAAATTAAGAGTTAACAGAATGAAGACCAGAGAGCAAGTCTCTTTTATTGGTATTTCCTTTCAGACCACACTTTCAAAATACAGCAGGGAGGAGCTGTTAAGGCCAGTTGGGGTTGTTAGGGGTCACCTTCCAAAGCAAATTAGAGACAAGGGAGAAGCAGCAAATGTAGAGGGAGGTTCAAGGCAAGAAAGCTCACTGGTTGTAGCTCACCCCATTGGGGGATGCAGCTTTCTTTCAGATGAAAATCTGGCTTGATGAAAAGAGGAATGAACGTCCCAAATAGTCTGATGGTGTCTGCATGATAAAAAAAAATGGTGGTTCTGAATTTTCTGGCATCAATATTACCCAATGAGAATCTGATGAATACAGATTTCCTCTTCTAGAACTACACACTTAACATTTCATACACAATTGTAGGGGATGCCAAGCTCCATTCTTGGACAAAAAATTTAGAGATTTGTTACAGAAGAACTGTAAAACTGAAAATCTGAGCCTTGGGCTTGAGTGCGGGCCCTTCTATTGACATTCTGTGTGACTTTAGGGGAGCGCTGCCCTTTGAGCCCCATGTGCAAAAATGGAATAATCATCTCTGCTCCGCTTCCCTCACTACAGTGGGCCATGATGATGAGTATAGAAGGGGTGGGAAACTGCAAAATGCTATCTGAATGTATCGGAACCTGGAGGTTCAGAGAGGTTACTCACCTTAAGGTCACACAGTTATTAAGTGGCAAGACTAAGGTTCAAACTGGGAGATGCTAAAGTCTTGTGTGTGTGTGTGTGTGTGCGCACGCACGCGCGTGTGTGTCAGAGACACAGAGAGAAAGACAGTGAGGAGAGAGAGAGATAGCTCCCTCCAAGAATTTTTAAAAGGATCAAATGAGATAATGCATATGAAAGGGTCACATAGGTTGTGAATTGTGATGTTTAAGTGATTACTCATGGACTGAATTTAGGATTCCATGTCCCAGCCACTTGTGGGATCTGGGCCTGGGACTTATGGATAAGGGGCTGAGAGGGATAGTAGAAGTGTGCCAATCAGTGGTGCTCCTCATGGAGACAATTAAGACCCTCTCTTCCTATCCAAACAAACAACTTCTGTGGTTTTGGGAAAATCTGCCAGAGCTGTGTAGTATCTTTAAACCCACTGACCAGCATACTCAGATCAGCACGTGTAGCTTTGGGAGTAGCAATTTTAATGCAACTACAAACTTATTCTGTGTTTTTAATGTTACCAAATAAAACTTGTAAAAGCCCAAATCCTATTCTCCTACATTAAAAAAGAAAGATTCCATAAAAGACAGTCTCATCCAACTCAGACTTTACATGCTCACATTCAGAAGTGAACACCCGTGTGTCCCATAAAACTAGTGGTGTCAGAGCATGGCAACACTGCAAACCAGAAACCTCCCCAACTGCACTTTCTTAGAGATTCTGGGAAATTGTCAATTCTTCCTTAAAACTTCAAAATAATGCTTCAAACATACAACTGATAATCTGAGAAACACAAAGGAAGGAATTGGAATGGGAGTGAGGATGACAAGGAGCCCTGGAACTTCATTATAAACAGCTGGGCATAAGAACACTGAACCTTGGTTCTGCTTGACTCACTGCATCTGGAGGCTGGGATGTAAAGTGCAAGGGAGTTTAAGGGTATGAGAAAGAATTGGCAAAGGATATCACTATTTCTGTGACAGCAGAAATTACTTAATAACTTCTTCTCTTGTTATAGCAAGTTGCTTAATGCTTTGCTTGGAGCCTAACTTTATGCAAATTGTTTTAATGTTGTGCTTGTTGGAAAAAGCCTAAAGCTTCTTTGGTCTCCTGTTCTGGAGCTTGGTAGACCAGAATGGCATCAGTGAAGAGTGACAATTAGCTGAGGCCTTTCTGAGCAATGAGGGCCTACGGGATAGGATTTCACGAGACCGGAGGAAGGAGGATCTCTTACAAGTCAGGGTTGAAAAAGGGTGTGTAAACTTGATACACAGTCAAGAAGCATTTAATAACTTTTATAAAATCAGTTTCAGAGTAAAGTCTATTATCACTGGATACTATCACTGGAATACAGAAGTGAAGATGACAGGGCAGAACAATATGATGAAGTCAAACCTAAATCAGATGCAAGAGGTTAAACATGAAAGTGAATTCAGAGTCCTGTTTCTCCACCCTTACCCACACCCCTGCTGCTGTGGCTGAGTATGGCCTGCATTCAGGGCTAGAGCTTCTGCATGGCAGCTATAGAACAAGGTCTCCCTGGAAAAAGAAGACCTAGTGCCCTAGGGCATCTGTAGCATTGGAAATGACTGTCTTGCGGGACCACTAGGTAGGAAGGTAGGAGTGGCCCCCCCCCCCCTAAAAAAGGGAGGTAGGAGTGGAGCTGGAGAGGAAGTGCTCAGGTTGATCTTCCCCCACAGTGGGTCTCTTTTCCTTTCATTCTCCCTGGGAGACCTCTGGGGCCAGAGAAGGCCTGCACCTAAGCAGATGGAGCTCTGGTCTGCTAGGAACACATCTCTTACAAGAAAGTGTGCAGGGGAGGTCCCTGTTTGGAGCATCAGAGACAAGACACAAGGTGGAATTTTCCTGGCTAACGTTCACTTCCAGGCAGAAGGAAAATGACCAAACATATCTTAGGTTTCAGTTGGAGCCTTCTGAGAACCCCTTGACTTGGGCCAGGGAAGAAATCCAGCATTTACACTATACATTGGACAAATAGAAAATGTCCAAATCAGAATCCTAACTCCTGGGATAGAGAACACAGGTGACATAAAAACATCTGGAGAAACATTTCAAGACCAAAAGGAAATCACTGGCTGTGAAGGCATACACAGTGCTTCCATGAACTTAACTTCAAACTCCAAATCCACAGATTAACAAAAATCCACATGTACTAAATTGTCCCCAAATTATTATATGTAGGTTCAGACAACACATGTGTTCTGAGCTGAGCTGAGTTTGCTCTCTTAAATATATGCAATCAGAATCTTCAGCCATAGGATGGGACCCTTCCATTTGAGATGGGAACCCAATATCTAATACTAAAACATGAAAAGAATGAAATAGTGGGGCAAGATTTTATAGAGGCTCAGAGTCCACAGGGTGACTGATCAGATTTTGGTGACAGACAAGGTGCTTAAAACACCAAATAACAAGGTCCAAACATATGATGGAGTGGAGGGAGAGAAAAGCAAGAGAGAACTGTGTTCAGTGTACACTGATGGACCAGCAACCTGGGAGCTGGTGTCTGCCCAAATGCAAACCTAACAACAGTTTCCTGCAGCTGGGCCAGATACCAAAGTCCTGGTAACTGGTCCTCTTCACACTACCTCTATATTCACATAATGTGCTCAGTTTCCTGCATGGGAACAGCAAATACCTCATAGGTGGAACCTGGAGACCTGAGGCAGCAGCAGTAAATAAGTATCTTGCATACATGTCGAATGCAGTCCTCAAACACACCTTACATCCTACTAAAGAAGTCAGAAAGTACCAACAAAGAGTATATTCTTTTTTTTCCTACAACAATGTTTAATCTCCATGCTGAGAAGTCCCATTTGACTTATTTCCTCCATGCCTTTAAAGTTAGGTGACAGAGTAGAAATCCAGTCATGAAAATAAAAAGGCAGAGGTGGATGAGCCCTGGCTCAATGAGACATATCAAATACATAGCATCCTGGTGTCACAGGGCAGACAGAACTGTCCTAGACAGTGTGGGGAAAAGATGGGCACTAGAGAGGTAAAAGTTCTACTTCGTGATCACTCACACTTGAACAGCACATTAGTTACTGAACAAGGGCGAGGTGAAGGGGATAAGGGAGGGTGGTAGAGTTGTAATTCTCTATGAGGGCTGGGAACATACACTCGTGGATGGGAACTTTTAAGTAGCTATGTTTATTATTACTTTTTTCCAGCAATCTTGCAAGAGGCAGAGTGTGACACTGAATTGAGTGAGACGAGCGTGTAGGTGGGTTGGCGAGGAGCCTTCTCTTGACGCAGGCCTCTGGCTTGTCAAGGAATGGCTGGTTCCACTGCTGGGCCGTGTTTACTCTTTTGCTTCAAGGAAAAGGGTTTCTTGAGGGAACAACTTTACCTCCAACAGTGATTTATTTGGGTCCAGCTGGGTTACCTAAAAAGAAAAGAAAACATATTCAAAAGACTGGAACAAGCACTGTTTTCTCCACATGGCACTCAGATCCTATCTGTGCACATTGATTCTCAGCCTGCTAAGCAGTGGCATGAGCATTTCCAATTCTATTATCTTATTTGATCCTCACAATAAACCTAGGACGTAGGTGGAGTTATTACCATCTTATAACAGAGGAAGCCAGGCTCAGAGAGGTCGAATCTCACAGCTGAGTGAAAAAACTGGCATTTGACCACAGGGTAGGCACAGCTTCAGGAGACTCGACTGCTCTTCCTGGCCGGGTGAAAGGTGTTTGCCTCCTATACAGCTCAGCTTGGCCGACAGGAGCCCCTTAGGAAGGGTACTGGCTAAACAGCTGGTTGCACTCCTGGGAACCTCTGCTTGATTAACTCCTGACAGCGTGGAAGGACTTTTCTGCTTGGCGGGAAAAGAGCTAAGCCTTTGGGGCTGATATGGCTAAACATTTCTGTAGTAAACTGGACAATGTGTATTCTGCCATGCCCAAAGATCAAGATCTTCCACTGAAGAGAGTGTCCCTAGGAAAGGATATCAGCAATCTCCTTGGTGGGGTGGGAGGATTTTAGTTTGACAAAATGAGTCAATGCCACAATAAGACTGTATTTTAGAAATAAAAAAATCATTATCTTACAATATGAACTATATGGAGTAAAGCCAGACAAAATCTTGGCTCAATTGGGATAGGTTAATCATATAGGAATCCTAAATTAGGTTTATGACCCCTTAGGCCAGGGCCAGGGATAGAGGATTTAGGAATCTGAGAGTGAGAGAAAGAAACAACGTTTTCCTATTTATCAGAAAGGAATATAAATTTTAAAAAGTTAAGAAATACTAGTGCAGTGGGGCTCTGGAAGCAGAAAGATTCCGGTTTCAGTCACAGCTGTGTTGGCTATTAGCTTTGTGGCTTTGAAGTTGATATGAACCTTGCAGGACTGATGTGAGGATTAAATGAGAAAAAAATATATAATTAGCACAGTGTCTAGCACAGAGCAGGTGTTCAGTGAAGGCTCCTGTGTATGTGAATAACTGTAAGGATGGACAGACAGGTAAGTGGATAGCTCTGAGTGTGTGTGATAGCAGGCCAGGTAGTCTGCTATGTGAGAGACAGAGGCTTTGGCCTGTGGTCTGCAGAGTACACAGCATCTGAAGCCAGCAATCTTGTCCTCTGCTCAACTCAAGCCACACCTAATGAGATGGTTCTGCTTGTTTTCTCCTAGCAAAGGGGGATGGCGTCCCTGGGAGGCTTGGTGTCATAAGCAGGCTGGCGAGCTGAAGAAGGAACGCGATCTTCGACTGTATCCAGATGGAAACCTGGTATGCCCAGGAGGGTCATTAGGGAGACACATCCACCTCCAGAATCCTCTGTGCTTATACAGAACCCAGAGCAAAGGGGCTCTACTGGTATCTCTTGGGTTCTGGGCTGATGGGCAGGCAAGGCGGTGGGGAGGGCCTAGCCTGCTGTCTGTCTTCCAATGCACGAGGGGCAAGGGGCTGGCAAATGTTTACCCACTTCCCCAATTAACGTATGATATTGCGCTGTCTTTTGTCAACAGAACCTCTGCTTCAGACTCGTTGGTATTTTTTGCCCAGCTGCTTCGTCTATTCTTAATTAACATGCCAGAGCTCTTCCGGCATCTTCTACTTTGTTATCTGTAGTTTGTAAATATGATGTTTGTTGGGAGAAACCATAATCATAATAGTGCCAGAACTATGCAGACCAGCAGAAAAATTATGCTATGAAGCAAAACAGGCTAGGAGGCTGGAGCCTCAGGCCGAGATTGCACCTTGCTTAAGTTGTCAACATGCAAGGTCAGAGGTTCAGGAAACATACCCAGTTTTCTCGGACCCAGTGTCCATGAAAAGTTAGGGATTTTCTCTGTCTCTTTGGGTGAGATGGCTGCGGCTCGAGAAAGAGGAAAATAAAGTTTCTCAAACCCCAATTACGTGCCAGGGACTTTATGTTGTCTCATTTAATTCCTGTGACAACCATGCAAGGTAGGTAGAAATGACAAAATTGAGGCTCACAGTGGTTGCCATTTGTTTAAGGCCACATGGTTAGTATAGGTCTGTCTATACAGCATAATGGTTAAAAAGGGTAAAGCAGGGGCGCCTGGGTGGCTTAGTCGGTTGAGCGTCCGACTTTCGCTTGGGTCATGATCTCGCGGTTCGTGGGTTCGAGCCCCGCGTCGGGCTCTGTGCTGACTGCCAGCTCAGAGCCTGGAGCCTGTTTCAGTCTGTGACTCCCTCTCTCTCTGACCCTCCCCTGCTCACGCTGTCTCTCTCTCTCTCTCTCCTAGAAATAAATAAAACATTAAAAAAATTAAAAAAAAAAAAAAAAAAAGGGTAAAGCAAATGTAGATTCAAATCCTGCTGTCACTTTACTACCTATAGACCTTGAAGAAGTTATAGAACCAGAGAGCCTTGGTTTTACTGTCTCTAAGATGAGAATAATCAGTTTCTCATTCATAGGTTGGTGTGACAGTTAAATGGAATGTTGGTCAAATGTCTGGTACAGTACCCAAACCAGTAATTGCTCAGTTGGTGGTAGCCATTACTGACTGGAATACTGTCTTGGGGAGGGGTCCTGGTTTAACTTCAAAGCTGGAGCTTTTCCCCTGAAGCCTCCTCTGGCCCAGGTCTGCAGCAGGCTGCCTTTCTTATTTCTGCCCTGCTGCCCTGCTAGGATAATGCCTCAGGATCTGGTTGATAGCTTCAGTGGGGCTGTGCTGAACTACTTCACAGCAAACATGGCTATTTGGGGGCTGCTCCTTGTGGTATCCCAGAGCAGAAGCACTATGCTTTTCTTTGAAGATCATTTTAGACAGGAATTTTCAAAATGAACAAGGACAACCTCTGCATCCATTCTTATTTGCCTGACTCGGACAAAAAGATGGTTGGGAACCTAGGGGTATGAGGTTCTTCCCTGCAAGATAGGTGGCCCAGTGCTCTGGGTCCCATTAAAGAAGGATGTGGGGCACCTAGCCAGGTCAGTTATTGAGCATCCCCGACTTCGGCTCAGGTCATGGTCTCATGGTTCTTGAGTTTGAGCCCCACATCAGGCTTGCTGCTGTCAGTGAAGATCCCGCTTTAGATCCTTTGTCTCCCTCTCTCTGCCCCACCCTCTCTTGTGCTCTCTCAAATATAAAAAAAAACATTAAAAAAAAAAAAAAGATGTGGAACACGCGATGGGGGACCTCCAAGCACGAAAGAGCCTAAAAACCACATTCTCTGAGAAACGGCTGAAGAATGGGAGAGAGAGGAACTGAGACGTGGTGGTGGTTGCCGCTATAGGGGAAGGGCTATCTGACGGACTGCCAAGTAGATCAGATGAATTCGTATTATTCACTGTGCCAACGGGCAGAGCTGGGACTGGTGGGCTAATATTGCAGGGGAAGCAGAATTCAGGTGGTTGGAAAGAACTTCTTAACAGAGGAGCAGCTGCTGGTGTGCTGCTGTACTACTTTCTTCTTCTTCTTCTTTCTGTTCTTTGTTTTCTTCTTGTTCTTCATAACCATCGTCATAGCAGCAACTAGCATTTACTGAGTACCTACCTGGTAGCTAGAAACATGCTAAATGCTTAACCAGTCCTCAAAAAAGCCAAATGAAGTAGGTATTATTATTGCCATTTGACAGCTGAAGATACCATGGGTTATACTGCCCAGGGTGCAGATAGAAGAAGATTTCACACTCAAGTCTGTCTGACTCCAAAGCTCATGATAACCAGAACGCTTCTGGCTAACATGTCGACAGGCTGCCTTGTGGAAATGGAGAAGTAGGGAGGGGAGGGGAGAATGAGCGTGTTCTCTGTTGACCCCAGAAGCATTCAAATAAGGGTATATTTGAGAAGATCATGAAGATAATAATAATGGCTAAAATTTATTAAGCATTCATTTTGTACCGGGCATATTCCAAGCACTTTATAATTTAATCTCATAATAATCTTCTGATGTAGGTATAATTATTATTTCCATTTTACAGATGAGAAAACTGACCCATGGAACACATTAAGTAACTCACCCAAAGTCTCAAAGCTATTCAGGACAGAGCCAGAATATGAATCTAGCTTTGGAATCCATATATAGAACTACTAGAATATTCAGCCAGAGGTGTGGCTAACAGTAGGATCCACCCAGACAAAAAAGTTGGATGAGATGGCTCTGAGGCTGTTTCTAACCAAGCTTCCAAGATAGAAGAGCTTCACTTTAAGAATGGCAAAAGATCAAGGGTCAGGGAAAAAACAAGCTCAAATGTTTATAAAATACGAATACAAAAACCCAAACTGAGCTTGTGTTCTGCCATTTACTTGGGACTTTACTGAATTATTGACTCTTTAAATCAACAGAGAAACACACCCTTTGGGACTCTTTGGGAGAGGAGGCGCATTCTCAGATAAGAGATATGGCCTGACTTTGTGTCAGAAAAGGAAAGTCAGTCATTTTGACATTTTATTCATTATACTTAGGAAGAGTAATATATTTTCTTATTAATATTTTAGCAATTTGTCTTTGTGAAACTTGTTTATGTTAGCAAAAATGGGACAAATAGAGCTATTCTTTCTTAGATCAATTTTCTCAGCAGTTTGAATGTTCATGTACATCTTATTTCTATTATTTCCCTGGGCCTCAGTTATTTCTTTAAAAAAAGTCTAACATTACTGCTGAGAAAAATGTGAATCAATGTGACAGAATCTCATCTAGGCCACACCAAGTGAGTCCCAGAATGTTACAGGGAGAAAGTCCTTAATTGCCAAAAGTCCAAACCCTTCAATTTTCATAGGTTGCTCACTTGAAGCTCAGAGAGGTCAAGTGACTCGGCCCAGGTCACACAGTTGATAAGAAGCAGAAGTAGTTCTCTACCCTAGAGTTTCTGACTTCTGTTGTGGGGTTCTTTCTAGCCACAACATTCTGCCTCTCACTTAAAAAAAAACAAAACAAAACACACACACACACAACAAACCTGAGCAT